CTAAACAAGCCTCATACAAGCCTCTTGCCTTTGGTTCTCCAAACAAACGCTGTTTTAAAAGATCTGCAGGTTACGGAAATACTTATATCACGACACAGCATGGCAAACAACTTTAAAAGTATATGTTAAATATTCTCTTTCTTTTTGGCCTTACTGGTGATCAGGAATTTTTCATCCACTGACTTCTCCCCACCACCCCAACCTGTCATCTGATTCCTTAGATTTTATAAGTTTCTGAATTCCCAAAAGGAATTGCACTTGAGCACTGTATGAACATTTTTTATTCCAAGAGATAGCTCCAAATTGTCTTCTGAATTTACCAATTTATTAATGTCAGTATATATTCCCATCAACAAAGTACAACAGTCACTTAATTTTCATCACTCCCTCACCAAAAAGAAATAAAATTTGTATTTTATATATTTGCCAATTTCATAGACAAAATATATCATCCCTATATTTTTGCTTGCATTTCTTTAATTATGAAGAGTTTGAGCATATTTTTTGAGTTCCATGGCCCATTATACTTATTCATCTATAAACTATTAAGTTATTTTTTTTTCTTTTGGGTATTTAGTGATTCTCTTCAGTTTTCTTGTTGATTTGTAAGAACTCTTCACGTATTAGAATAGTAACTCATTGTTATGTATGTTGCAAATACTTCCCCCTGTTTGTTTCTTCTCTTAGATTTTCAGTGGTATATCTGGTCCCATAGAGACGCCCTTGGGATTGGGATCCTTCCTAACTTCCCAAAGGCTTTACCTTTTGCTTGGTGGGAAAGCTGTACAGATCTAGGGCTGTTGTTTAAAGCGGGGCCAGCCTTTTTGGTGTTGGTTTTGTTTCCTTTGCCCTGCCCCCTCCCCCGCCTCTTCCTTCTCCTCTTCCTTTTTCTTAGCAAAATTTTATTTTTGGTGAGACACATTTAACATATGAGGATTACACCCAGCTGATGTTTTTGATGTCTCTCCTTGCTAGAAGGAGGAAGTGGCAGATTCTCGTTTATGATGGGCCGGTCTTGGGCCCTCGTTTGGGTTTGCAAATCACCTCTCTGAGCCACTCACAAGTCTTTTTTTCAACTTCTGCTCTTCTCTAGGGTTGGAGGCATGTCGCTACTGATAGACCATTATTTGCTGGATTTGGTTCCTTTTGCTCAGTTTGGGAAGAAAGAAGAGGTTTTGTCAAATTGTGTCTAAGCTGACTTCTTTCCCAGACACCAACGTTTACTTTTAGTGTTTCTCTCTTTCTTTTTTTTTTTTTTTTAAGATTTTATTAATTTATTGGACAGAGAGATCACAAGTAGGCAGAGAGGCAGGCAGAGAGGGGAGGGGGGAAGCAGGCTCCCCGCCGAGCAGAGAGCCGAGTGTGGGGCTCGATCCCAGGACCCCAAGATCACGACCTGAGCCGAAGGCAGAAGCCTAACCCACTGAGCCACCCAGGAGCCCACTTTTGGTGTTTCTTTAGTGTATATTGTATTTCTTGGGTTCTGTGGAGACCACTCTTGGTCAGGGCACAGTTTAAAGTGGGCCAGCAGCATGGCAGATGCAAAAGGAGCAGAAATGTACATTAGGTCATAGCAAAAGAAATCCCGAGTTCTCCTGTTAAGCAACATTTCCAAAACGTTTTGTGTCCTAGATGGTGTAGGGCCTTTGGGAACATTTAACATTTGGACATCCCAGCTAGATTTTTTTACCCCGCAACATTAATAGCCCTTTCTTTGCTTCAAACGTGCTTCTAAAGTGCATCTAGGGGACACGTGGTGGCTCCCTTGGTTAAGCATCTGTCTTTGGCTCAGGTCATGATCTCGGGGTCCTGAGATCATCTCCCATCAGGCTCCTTGCTCGGGGGGGGGGGGGGGGTCTGCTTCTTCCTCTGCCTGTGCTTCCCCTGCTTGTGCTCTTTCTCTCTCTCTGACAAATAAATAAATAAAATCTTCAAAAAAAAAAAGTGCATCTAGGAGACTAAATGGGCTTCTTTCATACATAAGACTATTCTCGGAATATTCTTACATACCCATAAGAATGTCCTGGGTGATGGGGTACCTGGGTGGCTCATTCGGTTAAGCCTCCAACTCTTGATTTATGCTCAGGTCGTGATCTCAGGGTTGTGCATCAGGATCTGCCCTCAGCATGGGGCCTGCTTAGATTCTCTCTCTCCCTCTCCCTCTGCTCTTACCCCCACTCACACCCATGGGCTTTCTCTCTCTCTCTCTCTCAAAAAAAAAAAAAAAAAAAAAAAGTGCTAGGTGGTAAAGCCAGCTTTTCCCATCTCTAGGATTTCTCATACTTTCATGTTCTTATGCTCACCTAGCAGCTGTTAAAATTTTACCTAGCAGGATGCCTGAGTGGCTCAGTTGGTTAAGTGTCTGCCTTCAGCTCAGGTCATGATCCCAGAGGACTAGGATCCAGTCTTGCATCCAGCTCCCTGCTCACCGGGGAGCCTGCTTCTCCCTCAGCCTGCTGTTCCTGTGCTTGTGCTCTCTCACTCTCTCTCTATTTCTGATAAACAAATAAAATCTTAAAAAAAAAAAAAAGTTTTCCTAGCCATGCCCCCATAGGTTCAGACTTAGTAGGTAAAGGTGGGGCCCGGGAATCTGCATTTTGGTAACTGTAGTGATTCTCATGTCTGTGATTCTTAGTACAGTCTTCGAGTCTAGGGCCAGATTCGCAGCCTCAGCCCTGTTAACATTTGGAATACGATAATCCTTTGTCCCTGGGGGTACTGTTTAGCAATGTCCCAGGCCTTACCTATTAGATATCAGTATATCTTTATAACATTATAACATTATAACTATCACAAAATCTCCCCCATTGTAACAATTGTAACATTGTTATAACAATCAAAAATACATCAGTCAAAAATATCTGCAGACATTCCCAACATGTCCTCTGGGTGGTCAAATCACATTTGACTGAGAACCACTGACTGAGGGGGAAATAAATGAGAAAATGCTAATTAGGAACAGTTTTTACTTTCACATGCAGACATTCATACCCGTGATTTCACTGAACAAATTAAACAAATATTTCTGAGAAGCTGGCATGTAACAAGTGTTTTTATATTAAAAAGTGTTTAATCATGTCTACTTCTTTAACACCTTACAAGATGGAAGGAAAGGAAATTTTCTTGTAAATTAATATCTATATTGAACATGGACTTTTCCTAAATTAATATTCCCAATAGTTGTCTGGAGGATAGACCAGAACTTTAAAATTAACAGAATAACAGAAAATTAATATTAATTTTATATTTATTTATATTTATATTATTTACATTAATTTAATATTAATCAGTATTAAAAGTAATATTAAATTAAAATTAATATTAACATTGGGGCTCCTGGGTGGCTCAGTTGGCTAAGCATCTGACTCTTGGTTTCAGCTCAGGTTATGATCTCAGGGTTGTGAGATGAGCCCCAGGTTGGGCCCTGTGCTCGGTACAGAGTTTGCTTAAGATTCTCTCTCCCTCTGCCCCTGCCCCTGCCGCCTGTGCACACGCTTTCTCTCTCTCTCTAAAATAAATAAATAGAAATCTTTTTAAAAAAACAACATTAACACTGACATCGCTTTAGGAAAGATGTAATTCAGCTGGTGTGACTTGCTGTACTCTAATAATGAAACAAATTTGATTGATAAACTTTACATTTATTCAAATTTAGAAACATAAGAGTCATGACACACCTGCCATGTTACGGTTTCTAAAACCTCACCTCTGCTGTCAGTTTAGAATCTTTCCTTTGAGAGTCTGTGGTCCATATAATAAATAACTCTACCCAAACACCCTCAGTTCCGTGTCAGTTTTTCATGTGTTACTAAAATGGTAAAAATAGAGCCTGATGTAGGGCAATCAGATATTTAACTCCTTAAGTCAGGGACAGGAGGAGCTACAAGGAAGGAAGGAAAGAGGGAGGGAAAGAAAGGAAGGAAGGAAGGAGGAAGGGATGGAGGAAGGAAGGAGGAGTGAAGGAAGAAGGAAAGAAAGAATGAAGGGAGGGAGAGGGAAAGAGGGAAGAAAGGAGAGATGGAAGGAAAAAGAAGGGGAGAGAGAGAACAGGAATTGATTGAGGAAGCTCTGTAATCTCAGACCACAGATCAGTAAATTCTATTGAAATTCAAGAGTGGAGACCTACCAGAAGGCTGGTGAAACAATTCCCAAGTGGCAAGAAAAAGAAGCCTATTGACATTCAGGAACCCCGAGGAGAACAACGGACGTCTCCATTTTGGACTTTAGCCCCTCCCCCAGCAGAGGTGTGACTAAAGCTCAAGACTGGAAAGATGCCTTTTCTCTGGAGGTTCTGTTGTCAACGTGCCATTAGCGTGGACAGGCTTTCTGAGCAGTAACCGATGATCGTTTCTTTGTATGGGAGATGGAGGGCCTTTGTCGATTAGCAAAGAGGAACCGGACCAGCAGAGTCTGGCAGCACAACTGACCCTTGGAGAGGACCCCAGGACCTTGGCCAGGGTTTCAGAAAGCAGGCCTACCTAGAATGGAAACTCAAAGGAGAGTGAGGGGCTCTGACTTGCAAAGCTGGAGAGAGAATAAACAGGAAACCGAAAACCCCCATCATTCCCAATGGAAAGTTGAATTCAAGAAACCTGGCTTTTTATTATTTTCCTCTGCAGAGATGGAGCAGAGGAAGATAAGTGCTCGCTTTTTAAACGTGCCGTGTTCTGTGTGGGGTGTTTTCTGTGCGTGTCCTCTGAGGATTTCTAGACAGTCCCTTCTCAAAGGGTCATTAACATTATTTAAATATTCATGGTGGGGGAGGGGATTACAGACTGAAATTTCAGACCGCTGGAGAGTGAGGGACGGCTGGCCACCAGCCTAATGGAGCCCCACCTTGTGTATCAGCTGCCTCCTTCCCCACCGCTGGCTTTGTTAACTCACGCGCTGTGACACCAGGCCGCAGGCTGCCACAATGGGGAGGGCAGCCTGAGGGCTCTGGCTAGCCGGAGTGCCAGAAACATCCCTGTCCACACCTCGGCCTCTGGGCCATATCGGGGAGAGCGCCAAAACATAGGGAGACCTCATCCCTGTCACCAAGACAGACTTCCTCACCGCAGCCAGCGGTGGAACTTCCCCGGGGACCATCGTCGTCGTGCTGGGTAAGAAATGAAGGATCGCTCCCACCCCGGGCAGGAGGAGCTCAGCGGCTCCTGGCATCGCGAGCGCGCACGGGCACCCACACGGTTCCACCTACCCACACACACACATGTGTACACCAACATGCGTACGCCTGTGCACACGCCGACACGCCCACCCGCACGCTGACCCAGGTCCACATCCCCAGACACAGAGCCCTCTCCCCAGCTAGGAAATCACACGGCTTCCCTGGCCCGGTGCCTCTATTCATCCACCCTCCATCCCTCCAGTCTATCCATTCATTCATTCCGTGGTTTCTCAGTTTGTGCTTGGATTCCACCAAAGCCACAGAGAGGTGTGGGTGGATGGGGAGGGCACGTGGAAGCGGAGGGGCGGCCCGCTGGCGCCGGGCGCGGGGAGGGGCGGGGAGGAGGCGGGCTCCTGCGGCCGGCGGGCGGCGCTCCCAGCCCTCCAGCTCGCCGGGCGCCGGCTGCTCCAGGAAGACGCGCTCGCCCCGCTGCGGGGCTGCCGCTCGTCTTCGCCGGAGCCTGTCGGACGCCCCATCCGGGAGGCAGGGGCCGAGCGGGAGCGGAGCTCGAGGACTGCGTCCCCCGGGATCCCGCGCCCAGAGGTGGGTGGCCCAGGCTGGGGGTGCGGTGACCCCCGACACCGCATCCCCAAAGAGCCCTCCTGATGTAGGGGTTCAGGCGTGGTGGGAGGAGGGTGGCCTGGGAGGGGCTGCAGATCTGGGGAGTCCTCAGAAGGATCGCGGACTTTAAAGGGCTTTTATGGCCTTGCTTAGAGGAGCGTGTGCTGGGAGGGGGCCTGGCTGGAAAGGGCTGTGGCCATGTGGCTTTGAATTCCTAGGTTTGGGGGAGGGCCGAGCCTTTGGCTGCTTTATTCAGTACTTAGTTATATGTGCTTTGAATAATAAACTTAGGGCTCTTTCCCCTGCCCCCCCCCCCCCCCGGGCGCGCGCGGGCTGTAGAGGAAAAGCGAGGAGTATCTAACGGCCGGCCGTGGCCGCCCGTCCGGAACCGGGAGCAGCAGAGGATGGAGCCACCGGTTCAGCTCCCGAGGAAGACAGGAGTCCTTAGATGGCAGCGCTGGGGGTTTGGGGAACTCAGGGGGTGCGCCGGGAGCCCGACGCCGGGGAGGGCCAGCTCCCGGACCTGCCGGAGCCCTGCAGACTAGATTTGCGAGCTGCGTTCCGGAGACCATGCGCGGACAGAGAGGGCACCCTTCCTGGGCGGGGATGGAGGGGTACGCGCTGAGCCTGGAAGTTTGGCCTGAGGCTGAAACCCCGGCTGCTAGGATCCGGTATTTTATCCTGGATAAAGCCGAGGGTACGTCTCTTTGGGCCCTTTGTGGAGACACTTTGGGGAGTGGGATGTGTGGATCGTGCTGGTGAGCTCTGAGCAAACGGTGCCGGTAATGGGGGCGGGGGAGGGGTGGGGTAAGCATGCCCTCAGAGAGGAGAGCGAGGAGATCCTGGTGGCCCTGAGCAATTCTGGAGAAACATAGTGGGGGACTGGGGACTGAATGGAAGTCCGTGAGCCCGGGAACCTGCCGAGGAAGGCCGGGGTGGGCAGGGGAGACTTGAGGGCTAAGGGCGGCTGCATACAGTGGGGAGCAGGATGGGCTAGACAGGCAGCCTGTTACTGAGCTCCCTGCCCTCAGGACAGACATCTCGAGCCCTGGGGAGCTCTCCCTAATCCTCAAAAAGGGGGCGTCCTGTAGAGGGAGTTCACTCATTTGGAGAGATGGTGGGTTGTGGCTTCAAGCCAGTTTCCCGCGTGGGGTGGTATTGGTTTGGCTCCCAGAGGCTGTGTGGTCAGACTTGGACAAATCTGCACCCTTCTCTGTAGCAGTTTTAAGTGCAGCGCCCATAATTTGGGCAAGCTTCCTTCCCCACTCTTAAATGTACTTACCTTTGAAAAAAGTGCACACACAAATATACCTATACATCTATTTCTCTATGGTACATCTTTGAGTCCACAGAGCAAATTCCCAGGGGAAGCAACCTGCCCTCTTAACGTGTTCACTGGCATCTGGGGGGCCACCGCCCACCATTGTAATCGCAGGAGATGTGTTTCCTCTGTTCTGTTCTAATTAAAGAGAGAGTTCACTTAAGCATCACACTTTTCTTCCTGGAAACGGTCCTAATTTAATTAAACATTCTCTCTCCCAGCCTGACAGCATCCCCAATATTCATCAATAAAATTTCAGAGTAGCATGTCTAGAAATGATGGCTATCTCTGAAAGAGTTTCCTCTGTTGTATTAAACATACAGCCCTTAAGAACTAAGACTTGCCCTAACACACCTTCCAAACAGCTGTCCATGGCCAGCTTTCTCCTGCCCAGTTTTGACACAGGCTCTTTGCTCCGAAGATAGCTTCTCCTTTGAATAAGTGTCCCATTGGGTTATGTAGGTCCTGCAGTTATTTTGGGCTGCACTAATAAAATGAGCCAAGAGCCAAGAAAAATGAAAGTACACCTCTCTGGGTCTTGCATTCCCTTCCGTGGTGGACTGCAAGCAGTTAGGTGCTGACATCTTTCTCTGGCGGTGAGAAGAAGAAGAAGAAATTCACTTCAGTGTCTTTCTGGGATGCTGAGGTGCTGGTGTGAGAGGGTGGCCAGGCTCTGAGATGGGAACAGGCATTTTGAAATATCCATTGTTTCATCATTCTGGCATGACAGTTGGCACGGCTCTCTGCCTGCAGAGTTTAGGGTAGTGTGGTCAGAGATCATTTCACTTCCATTAGTGGCTCATTCTGACTCAGGAGCCTCGGGATCTCAGGGTAATAAGATGAAGCAGGTTGTCTTAACATGGTATCAAGTGAGGGGAAAAATGATCCCTTGGTTGTTTTATTCTAAAACTTCCCTATTTTAGTTAACCGCATTTATTTTAGTTAACTGCATTAGTTAATTAACTATTAAATATTACTTTAAGAAATGCTAACACCTTCGACTTTCTGCTTAATTAGGAGAATTGTTGTCTAGGTAGCATTGACTCCTAAAGCTCCCATCTCTCGGATTTCTATCACAGATGTCATTACAAGTCTCTACTTATTAAGGTAATGAGAGATGTTTCAAAATGAAATCAAATTTGGGTGGAGGTTATGTTGAGGAATTTAAACAATTGAAACAGGAGCGTGTTGAAAGTTACTTCTAAAGACCACAAGGGTGATGGTGTAGTTCCAGTCTTTAATTTTATGCATGTCTCACCGCTGGTAGAACTGGTGATCAATCTTGAAGTAGCCTGTGGAATGACTGCTCTTTGATCATGAGAAACAGGAGTCATCCTTTGTTTAGGTTATTGGTCAGGGATCCTGTACCAACTATTGGAAACTTGAACCGACTAATTCATGTACTTATCAGGTTTAACAGTTTGAGTAAGTTTTGCCAGGAAATGGTGTCATTTTCTTTATACTGTGTAAACTCTACACCGATGGATAGATTTCTCTGTGAAGCTAAAATAGCTTAAGGTTGGGGGTTCCTCATTGGCACCAGCCTTACCCATCAGCACGTTGAGTTGCTTGGGCCCTAGGGTTTTGGTGCCTTCATGATCCATGGTGATGAGATCCAGACTCTTGGTAAGAGAATCCCCTTCTAAGAACATCTGTGACTACTGTTTAGTTTTGGACCTTTGCCCTTCAAACATGTTTTTCAAGAATGTATTATTATAGGAAAGTTGAAATCATCTCTCTTCCAATAGGAAATCTATGATTTTTCTCAGGGAGAAATTATAGATTTTGCCTATGTGATTTTTAGTCACACCTGATGAACTAGGATACTTAAGAAATGAAGTACTCTAAGTAATATACGTTTAAACCTAAGTTTTAAAAATTTGTTTCAACTGTTGCTGATACAAAGCGTGTTTCTAAGATATAAAAAATGGCTATCTTACCCCTGACTGCTCTTTGCCTTGATGAGTTTACTGTGGTGAACATATGGTTGTCCTTCCGCCAACAGTTTAGGACTTTGTAGTCTCCGTGTGATGTCAGCAGAAAGACAAATTATGATTTATGGGAGTGCAGAAGCTTCATTGTGGAATCCACTCCAGGACAGCCCCTGGAGACTGGCTTTTGAGGAAACAATCCCACCATAAATATCATTTCTGTTCTTTGCCCCGCTGTCTGGAAAATTGAGTGCCAGGAGAATGAATTAATCATGAGCTTTCCTTTGCCTGCAGTAACAACAAGATGTGCTTTCTCCAGGTTTCGGCCCAGGGTTCTTTTCATCTGTTGAAGTGAATTCTGAGATTGGGGAGGTACAAGAGAGAACATACCCTTTGGGAGAAGGGCCTGAGGTTCTCCTCGGGCCCACCTACCTCTTTCCCGTGTAGTGTTTGTCTCTAAAATCTAGGTATACCTGTACTGCCAGGCCTTGTGGGATACCTTCGAGTGGGATCAGGGACATGTAACTGGTATTGTTCCTGTCTCGGTGGGAGTCTCCAAGTGGCCTGATGGACCATGCCAGTGGAAAGGGGGACCTGCGCAGGCAGAATGCTGCCCGTTTCCTTATCCAGGTGGAAGACAGGGTAAGGTGATGGAGTGTCCCTCAAGTGGGTTTGAGAAATTGGGTGTTTTTGTTTGGTCTTTTAAGTCTTGGGGGATATGTATCCTGGGTGAGGGGGTCGTGGTATAAATGCCAGGGAAGCCGGGGGAGTGGCAGGACTCAGTGAGGAATGTATGTCACTGTCCTTTGGCCCCTTCCTTTCCTAGCTCTTTTGGTTGGTTTTGATGTTTGAGCAGAGCAGCCTGAGTGAGCAGAGCTGAATACACAGATGCTGTAATGCCCTGGTAATCGGGAACCTCGGCGGGGCCAAAACACATTAGTGCCTCCGTCAAGTTCTCTGTAAGATCTTGGGCATGTCACGGAATTGGAATATTCGTTCCTTCCCGTCTCAAAACGGGGATGCCAAAACCTGCCTATTTGAAAACTTGTGCTGAATGAGAGAAGATATGGAAGCACCTTGCATGTGTTGTGTATCTCCCCAAATTGGTTGTTTTCCTAAGTT